GGGCCGGGCCGCCCGCCGCTGTCAGCCGCGGCCGCCGTGTCACTAACGCACCTCGCAGGGATTCCCGCACCATTCCACGCCAGAGCCACATCTGGGGCTCCCGGGAGGAGAGAGGCAGGCAGGCGGGCAGGGGAGCGCTCTGCCCGGGAGGGGCGGGTGAGCAGCCGGCTAACAACCAGCAGAGCCGCACAGAGCCCAGCCTCCCTCCGTCTTGGGGAGTGTCGAGAGAGGGGTGCTGCGGAGGGAGGGGGGCACCCAGCGGGAGACACGGGCGGTTGGTTTCGTGCCAATTAGATTAACAGATCCTCAAAAAAGGTGCACTAAAGTGAAAACAGTTCTATTGTGAGCTTGAAATCCTAACGCTAATTGTTTCAGAAGTGCTCGCTCAGCCCTCTCCAGTGATAACACACGGATCCTTCAAAGTCACCGGGGGCAGGAGGGGGCTATTTAGAGGAGAGAATCATCAGACCTTGTGGCATGGCACACAGCAGAGAACTTCTCTGAGAGGTGCAGACCAGGACGGCCCCGCGGGGCACCTCAGGGATCCTAGCAAGAGAATTGCCTGGACGCTGTATTGTTGGGTTTTTTTAAAGAAAGAGGGGAACAGAACGCAGAGCGTTGTATTTTCTGGAGACACGCAGGACTGCTGCAATCTGTTTCCTTCTTTCTTGTCCATTCGTTTATTTTAACCGCTGAGACGGTTCAGATCTAGCTATGATTTACGTGAATTAGCTTAGGGGATCCGAGGGTGTTGCCCAGATCAGACACAGATCCAGTCAAGCACAAAAAGAAAAGAAGTTTTTTGTTAGTTGTTTTTTTTTTTTAAAAAAAAAGCCTTGGTTCATACTTTTGACTCATTAAACCGGCACCCATCTCCCATCAAGATCAGCAAAAGTGACAGCTGGACTCTTTATAATGCCGTCAAAAATTCAAACTGCATTGAGCCAAGGGGGACATTTCACAGCAACCAGAGGATGCCTGGGAGTCAGGCGTGAATGCCAATGAGTCAAATGAAAGGGCAAAACCAAATATGAGCCCCTTCTCTGCTCCACATCTCACACTGCATTTCTTGGACTTTAAGAACTTCTACACTGACTTTGTTCATTTTGTTGCCTTTAAACTCTTGTATCTGAGGAAAAGGGATTTTTCCGCCCCCCCCCCCCCCCCTTCCCCTTAAAGGATTGCTTCTAGCACAACTTCAGAGACTGCATACACATCTTTAAGAAATTACTTTGGGCTTACAACATTCCTAGGCAGATGGGGTTTGGGGGTTGTTGTTTGGGGGTTTTTTTTGTTGTTGTTTTTAAACACCGGAGCAAAGACTTAATATCATTCCTGCTATTAAACAGATACGAGCGCGACTGTTAAAAAAACCCACGTCTTTGGGTTAATGCGCAGCCAGGGAAAACCTGTGAAGATGTAACAGCCAACGCTTCCCCTACGGAGTCTCTAGGGTTCAGCACAGATTTACCTCGTAGGCGCTCAAGGAAAGTAACTTTTTCTTCCCCGTCTCTCCCTCCAGACGTCCCTTGGCTCCGGCAGTGTCAAACACGCGAGAAAACGCCTCCCCACCACAACTTCCAACACCCCCGGCGCTACTAGCAGCGAGGGGTGACCTCCCCCTCAACACCTTACACCGGGGAGAGGAGAGCGGACAAACACGGTCCCCCCGGGGCCACGGCTCCGCGCCGCCCGAGCCTGGGGAAGGCGGCACGGCGGTGCACACCCCCCCCCCCCCAACTCTCCCGCGCCCCCGCTGCCTCCCGCCAACCTGCCGGCCCAGGCGAGAGCGAAAAGCAAACAGCAGCGCCGCGAAAAGCAAACAGTGCCCATGATAATGATGCGATCCCCGGCCCCCGCTGCCTGTCTGCGATAAGGGACGCGCTCGGGGCCGGCCGCGCGGAGCCGCCGGCGCTGACGCCCTGACAGCGCCCCGCTGATTCGCCGGGGCTCCCGCGGCGGGGGC